GGCCACCTACTACTGCGCCAAAGCTGATCCTGCTGGTGCTGGTTATGGTTATGCTGCTGGTGGCCCCGACCCCATCACCGTGTCCCCACATCCCACCATCTCCCCCAATCCCTTCCCACACTGACCCGGGGCTTGTACCGAGTCTAGACCCTGGCACCAAGCAAAAAACCTTGTATCGACCCCAAATTCTTGCCTTTTGACCCAAATCCCTGGCCTGCAGCCCCTCTGCCAGGGATCTGGTGCCACTTCCATCAGCCTCAGCACAGACTGGGGTCAACAGACACCCAGGACCTTCCCAAGATCCTCCCCCCAAGTCTCGGCCTCCCTGTCCTGAGCCCGACCTCCCTGCCCCACATCCTAAATCCCAGCATCTTCCTCAAAACCTTTGTTTCCAGACAGAACCCCTGAGTTTGGGTTGAGGAGATGGGTCCGGGGTGGGGGCAAAGGGGTCAGGAAGGTGTAAGTCGGGGCACAGGAAGGGTCTGGGCTCTGAGTCGGGGTCTGGGACTCACAGCAAAGAGGGGGTTGGGGACAAACACAGCTGAGTTTGGCTGTAAACTATCAAGATTTGGGCCAAAGCCAGTCAAGAGTGGGGCAAAGAGTCAAGGTTTTGGTCAAAATTGGTCCAGACTTTCGCAAACAGTCAAGAATTGGGCCAAAAATTGTTGAGGGTTGGGGGAAATGGTCAAGATTTGGCACAAACCCCAGACTGGACTCTTCCCCCCAGCCCAGACCCCTGCACCCAACCCAGCTCCTTGCCCTCAGCCTCGGCCATTGTCCCCAAGACCATGGTAGGAATGGTTGGGATTTACGGATAAATCATTCAAGGTTGAAGGAAACGGTCAAAGCTCAGGGAAAGGACCTGGGTTGGGTGAAGGGTTTGAGGAAGATGTGGGGACCCAGCACAGGGATGTGGGGACACGGTGATGGGGTCGGGGCCACCAGCAGCACCATAACCCCAACCATAACCACCAGCACTTTTGGCGCAGTAGTAGGTGGCCGTGTCGTCCTCCTTGAGGCTGTTCATCTGCAGCGTGACTGTGCTCTGGGAGTTGTCCCTGGAGATGGTGAAGCGACCCTTCACCGACGGCGCGTAGTAGGCGCTACCACCGCTGGTAATACCCGCGACCCACTCGGGTGCCTGTCGAATCCAGAACATTTCGAAGCTGCTGAAGGTGAAGCCGGAGCCCTTGCAGCAGAGGGTGAGGGACCCCCCGGGTGTCTGAAGGCCCCCTCCGGACTCTGTCAGCTTCACGGTCCTGGGGAGGGGCCAGAAGGGGAGACACCCCCCCTAGGTCTCCCTGGTCCTTCCTCCAGCCTGGTCCTAGCCTTGGTGGAGACAACCTGGAGGACGGAGGTTTGGGGGCCAAAGCAGTTGAGATTGGCCTCAAAGTGCCAAGATTGGGGCCAAAACTCATCAAGGGGGTGGACAAACATTCAAGGTTTGGGCACAAACCGGTCAACACTTTGGCAAACAGTCAAGATTTGGCCAAAATGCGCTGAGGGTTGGGGGAAAACATCAAGATTTGATAAATAAGTGGTGGAAATTGGAGCAAGGAGTGGAAACTTGGGGCCAAGAGTCAAGATTGGGGAAACATTGGTTGAGTTTTGGTACGAAGGGTTGTGATATGGGGCTAAAGGACTCAAGGCTGATGGAAAGGGTCAAAGCTTGAGGAAAACCATCTGGGTTGGTGAAGGGATTGAGGAAGATGTGGGGACACGGTGATGGGGTCGGGGCCACCAGCAGCACCATAACCACAACCATAACTACCAGCTTCTTTGGCGCAGTAGTAGGTGGCCGTGTCGTCCTCCTTGAGGCTGTTCATCTGCAGCGTGACCGTGCTCTGGGAGTTGTCCCTGGAGATGGTGAAGCGACCCTTCACCGACGGCGCGTAAACTGTGGTACCACCACTGCTAATAAGTGCGACCCACTCCAGCCCCTTCCCAGGGGCCTGTCGCACCCATTGCATGGTGAAGCTGCTGAAGGTGAAGCCGGAGGCCTTGCAGCGGAGGGTGAGGGACCCCCCGGGTGTCACGAGGCCCCCTCCGGACTCCGTCAGCTCCACGGCCGCCCGCAGCCCTGGGGAGGGAGAGAGGAAGGAGACAATTGAGTCACCCCCAAGGTCCCCCCATGGCTCGTCCTCCATCTCCGCAGGCGGGGAGGGAAGATGAGGGTCCTACCTGGGAGGGCGGCCAGGAGGAGGAGGAAGAGGTTGGAGAAGGAGTCAGATCCATCAGAACACAAGGAAGTCCCTCACCCTCCGCTGCAAGGGCTCCGGCTTCACCTTCAGCAGCTTCACCATGTTCTGGGTGTGACAGGCACCCGGGAAGGGTCTGGAGTGGATCGCGGGTATTGAAAGTGGTGGTAGCACCTTCTACGCGCCGTCGGTGAAGGGTCGCTTCACCATCTCCAGGGACAACTCCCAGAGCACGGTCACACTGCAGATGAAGGACCTCAAGGAGGACGACACGGCCACCTACTACTGCGCCAGAGCTGCTGGTAGTTATGGTTGTGGTTATGGTGCTACTGCTGCTGCTGGTGGCCCCGACCCCATCACCGGGTCCCCACATCCCTGACCCGGGTCCCCACATCTCAGCATCTCCCTGACACCCCACACCCAGCCTGGCCCCTTCCACCAAACATGGACCCTGCTCCCAACCCAGGTCCTTGCCCCAAGTGTTGACCATTGGCCCCAAGCCCACCACGGACCCCTCTTCTGACCCCCGAGATAGGGGTCTGGGCTGGGAACAAAGGTTTTGGGGAAGATGCTGGGATTTTGGGCTGTCGGGCAGGGATGTCAGGGCTCAGGACAGGGGAACTGAGAAATGGACCAAGGATTTGGGGAAGATCCCAGGTGTCTCTTTACCCCAGCCTGTGCCAGGGCTGCTGGAGGTGACACCAGAGCACTGGCAGAGGGGCTGCAGGGCAGGGATTTGGGTCAAAAGTCAAGAATTTGGGGTCAATTAATGGGTTTGTGCTTGGTGCCAGGGTCCAGACTCGGTCTCTTCTTCCCAGGAACAGTCCTTGGGACAAGAGGGAACGGCCTCAAGGTGCCCCAGGGGAGGTTCAGGATGGAAATGGGGGAAAACGACTCCAGGGAAAGGGTCGTGAAGCCTTGGAAGAGGCTGCCCAGGGACGTGGTGGAGCCTCCATCCCTGGGGGTATCCCAAAGGTGAGCAGACGTGGTGCTGAGGGACATGGGTCAGTGGTGGGTTTGGGCCCAGTTGGGTGGATGGTGGGACAGGAGGAGCTGAAAGGTCCCTTCAACCCGGACGGTTCTGATTCTGTGACCCAGGGCTGGGATGTGGGGACATGAGGTCGGGGCCACCACCAGCATAAGGAGCACCACAATAACCACCATAAGAAGCTTTGGTGCAGTAGTAGGTGGCCGTGTCGTCCTCCTTGAGGCTGTTCATCTGCAGCGTGACCGTGCTCTGGGAGTTGTCCCTGGAGATGGTGAAGCGACCCTTCACCGACGGCGCGTAGCCTGTCCAACCACCATTGTAGCTAATACCCGCGAGGAACTCCAGCCCCTTCCCAGGTGCCTGTCGCACCCATTGCATGTAGAAGTTGCTGAAGGTGAAGCCGGAGGCCTTGCAGCGGAGGGTGAGGGACCCCCCGGGTGTCACGGTGCCCCCTCCGGACTCCGTCAGCTCCACGGCCGCCCGCAGCCCTGGGGAGGGAGAGAGGAAGGAGACAATTGAGTCACC